TGTGGGTATTGAACACAGATGGCCTTTTTGTTTCCCGTGATACTTTCGGTGTCGGATGATGGCTCGAATCAACAAAAAATCAAGGATGCAAAACAAGAGACCACGAAAGATACACCAGCAAACCTCACAGTCAGGGATTGGTGATCCCGGGCGCCTCGATCACCGAGAATAATATCCCAACTCAATGGCGTATCTCTTCTCGACTGGGCAGATCTTATAATAGACCCGGGGAAGCCCAATCACCGCTCGGTAGCCTCCCGACTTCTGAATGCTGTATCAGGGCTACCTGATTTTAAGTTGACCGACAATTATATAGATAGCCTTCAAGCCACTCGATTTTTCTCACAATTTGAAGATAATGAGCAAACGATAAATGACAACCTCGGAGTGTATACCGAGCCTCGAAAGGTATAAAACCCTCCAGTCGCTCGAACAACTAATATCGTCCACAAGAATCTTGCGCCTTGAACTTTACTCATCTCCATGTCTCTGCTCGCACCTGCACCAGCCCCACCCACCAAATTGGGCGTATACCGTGTACTCTCCTCCCGCGCAGGAGTTCACGTCTCTCCCTTATGTCTCGGTGCGATGAGCATCGGGGACAAATGGGGTTCATTCATGGGCTCGATGGACAAAGACTCCAGTTTCAAACTCCTAGATGCTTACTTCGACAAGGGAGGTAACTTTATCGATACCGCCAACGGATAGTACGTTTTCATGTCTAGCATTCATCTGTGTGGATCCCCGTTTCTGAAACCTCAACCTCAACTCACAGTCAAGAAGAAAGCTCGGAAGAGTTCATTGGCGAGTGGGCAGAAAAACGTGGAATCCGAGACCAACTCTTCATTGCAACCAAGGTCAGCCGTGGCTCCTCGGGACCTGACAATTACAACATACTTATCTATCGATTGTCAGTACACTTCGCTATACAAACGACGCGACCCAACCGTCTCCCACAAAGTGAATTACTGCGGGAACAACACGAAGAGTATGCACGTCAGCGTCCACGCAAGTCTAAAGAAACTCCGTACGGATTATATCGACCTTCTGTACGTCCACTGGTGGGACTACGAGACGTCCATCGAGGAGGTCATGGATAGTCTTCATAATCTCGTCGTGCAAGGGAAAGTCCTCTACTTGGTGAGGGGTAACCACTGTTTTCAGCCGACTCGAACTCTAACCAATCACCATCAGGGTATCTCGGACACCCCAGCATGGATAGTCGCTCATGCTAACCAATACGCCAAGTTGACTGGCAAAACACCATTTACGGTGTACCAGGGCGAGTGGAGTGTTTTGAAGAGGTCATTCGAGAGGGATATCATCCCCATGGCTCGTTTGTATGGTTAGTACCTGCCCCTTGCAATACCTCGTATATTCATATTGAACGATTTAGGTATGGCACTCGCTCCGTGGGGCGTTCTGGGTGGTGGAAGACTGAGAACGGATGCTGAGGAGGAACGAAGAGAGCAGACTGGCGAGGAAGGACGTAAAGTTTTCACGGACGAGTGGCGCAGGAGCCCAGATGAAGTGGTTATAAGCCGTGCACTCGAGAAGGTAGCCAATGAGATTGGTGCGAAGAACATTACCTCCGGTCAGTCTGAAGTTGTTCTCCAGCTGACAGACGAATATTGATTACTAACCCTTTGAGGTAGTTGCCATCGCGTATGTCATGCAAAAGACCACTTATGTTTTCCCAATCATCGGTGGTCGGAAAGTAAAACACCTCGAGCAGAATCTAGAAGCCCTCGATATCACTTTGACTCCAGAACAGATCGAATTCCTGGAGAGCAAGATACCATTCGATCTCGGATTCCCTATGAGCACCTTCGTGAGTATTCGAGATACTTGACTCCGACTATACTAACGAGTCATTCTCTGATAGGGCACCGGAAACGAACCAAACGGAAGCTTCCGAATGAGATTGGCTGGTCATTACCAGAGGATGCTACCAGTTCAGCCACTCAGTGCACCTGTATTGGACACTCAGAAGTGAAGCTCAGGATATATAGATTATCACTGTGGAGTGTATACATATAGCAGCTGAACTAGACACGCGTGTAAATGAGACCTGTCCTGTCAGCGTATCACGCATAGAATTCCCAAGTTTGAGGAGGGATAACATATCCCAAGGCAACTTCAGATCCAGACAACTCCGTTATGGTGTAGTGGCTAACATTATCGCCTCTCATCTATGTCAACCGGCGGTGACGCGATAGCCCAGGGTTCGATTCCCTGTAACGGAATGAATCTATATCGAAAATGTTTTTGTGGTTCGTTTCGTCAACTAGTACGTTCATTTGAGTGTCTGTCACTGCATCATGTATGCACGTAGTGTAATACAGCGCGCGAGTCAAAAACGTGTTAACGAATTATACAACTACTACGGGAGGACTCGAGACTTCCTGCACCCAAAGAAATCCAAAGGCTCCCGCCGGCGAGGGCTACAGCTTTAAAAAAAATAGACAACAGAGGTTCGGTTGGTGACAACCCTAGATGCCAAAGACTGGTCATGGACGTACCATAAGGCAAAGCGTGCCTGCTAAGGCTCACGGCAACACTTCTCGCTACCAGTACTCTCGACCCGGGCGACGCGTCCACCACGAGCGTAAAAAGCCCATCTCACCCACCAGGCCATTAGTGGAATCGGTCTGACCGTTTTGTAGAAATGGCGGGTCAGACTTCATCGATTCAAATACAGCAAGTAACAGGGAATAACGAGCGTCAAAGCTACGGAAAGACAACAAGTAGCTTATACTCGGAGCACACATCCCAAGGCTACGATAACACTAACGAATAGCGTATGCAGAAAGGGCGAGCAAAGGAGAAACACGTTGATACCCAAAAACGTCCAAAAAGCGTGTGACCAAACCCACCTTTGGGGTCGTATCTCCCGCAGCACCAGCACCGACGTTACCCGAGGGCCTTTGAGAACACAAGACAAGTCGAGTGCGTGGTCGTTTCCTAAGATCCTCAGAGAGCCCGCTGTACAAGTATTCTGGGTGAGCCGTGAACTCCTGTAAGAAAGATCATCGCACCAGTTAGTAACGGAGAGACGCGCACGAGAAACGATGAGTACCACTTATCGGTGACCACAAGGCATAGTAACGAATCGCCGATGTTGATTCCATCGAGGTGCAGCCACCAAGTCGGATAATGTCGTTAAGTACGGAGGTAGAATGTATATTTGGGGTTCAAGCCATTTTTCACTGGGCAGTATTTCTAGCGCTGGACACAAGCTGACTCGTGTTGATGGATGCAGGTTCGGAGTAAGCCGATGGATACAACGACTGGGGGGAAGGAGGGGGATATTTTTAGTCAGAGATGGTGAAAGGGACGAGAACGAGAAAGAACTACGCACCGAAACGGTACAGCTACTCCCCATCGACTCAATCGGCAACTTCATCGACATTTCGGATACGATCACTGAGGTGGATGATTCGAGGTGTCTATCCACTTCTATCGCAACGGGGTCAGATGCGGTGTCCACGCGAAGGTTCTTTCTAGGTATAGGGAGTCCCGATTTGTCGAGTAGTCAGCATTGTGGAATGACAGAATGGTGGTGATGAGAAAAGGCGCTAGAGGTACAAGAAAGCGATTGAGTGAGCTGGATTGAGAAAGAAAGGATGGGAGCTCACTTCGCCTGCGCTCCGTCTCATGTTGGATGGACTAGCCACGTAGATCAGAGGTCGCGAGCTCAGACTATGGAAGGCATATGGTCAATATAGCTCTGTAACGCTATATGTTGGTGGTGCCATCCAGATAGTCGAAGGATTAAACGCACCTGAAAAAGGTCGTTCGAGATTGTTCAGCTGGTGTCTCTGGACTGTATTTCTTCACCGATTCTATTTCCTCACTTCACATAGCATCATACTTCCAAATTCGCAGGTGCTGCAAGATGGCGCGTCTTCACATGACAATCTCTTGAGATTCAAATGGTGATTGAGAGAGAAACGATAAACATACCTTTCTAGGTCCTTGGATCTCCCAGCTGTCTTCGTATCTAATATGTCTCACAAAATCGAAGGTAGCATCCGGCGTTTCAGGGTCGTGAGACGACATCGACACGCCAGCGAATATCCGTTTTACCGTCTATCGATCTTCAGATGACTCAGACTACACTATACGCAAAAAACAATCGAAAAAATGAACGTACCATACAACATATCCTGAGACTTGCTAAAGGAATCTGTTTGCCTTCGCCCCATTGATAGGGTCGCGAGGCGGAGTTGTAGGGAAAGAAGAACAAAAGCTAGGAGGGCAAATTGAGGAAGAAAGAGTTCAAAGCAGAACCGAGCCCAGCAGGTCGTTTGTTTGACGACGATTGGCTGGGGCTTTCGGTGAACCAAGCCCTAACCCTAGGCTGAGTGCTCGTGACGTCAGAATAGGCCATGAATCTCTTCCCTCCCTCCACCATCTCTTCGCAGTTCACGTCCGTCTGACTATGGGACACGTCCTTTAACCTGATTACATCGCTACCCTATCGTCACGGCCATTCTGTGCACCAACAACCATCACTTCCGCATACCATCGGACGTTAGCCTCCAAGCTACATCCGAGCGGCGTGAGCGAGAGCCCTAGGATCGGTCATCCATTCTATAGTTGTGTGCTCATTCTTCCCCTTGTTATCGCTGTTAATTCAATCATATATAGAGCTGTACGCAATTTGTTCGTTGCTGAGATTCAAGACATCACCACCGTAAAATAACAAGAAGATGCACCTGACTTTGCAAGATCACACCCGTGTACAAGGTAGCAACTTAGTAACCTCGAATCGATGGTACTACGCGACAATGAACAACGGGCTGGTGAACTCAACTGTGCTCTTGAGTCCTTATGAGAACCGGACAAGTGTCTCATGGTGAATAAATACTATCAGTGTCACTAGAGCGTGGGTTTGCCGTTCCAAGATATGCTAGCACATTCTTCCGAGCGAGTAGCTGTTGATCCCGATTGCCTAGATCACCCGCGAGATGGTGCTTTTTCCATTGCGAGTTCTTAAAATAGGTTCAGGAGAGCCCAATCACCGTTCGGAATCCCTCCGACTCCGACTCTTTCTATGTCCTAGCAAATAACTAAGCCGCGGCAGAAACATATCATCCTATTTCTATGCTTACGGTGAGCTCAGCACCGCATGATTTGCCTGCTAGTTCCCAGCGCCTGTACTCATGACGATAGCCTCGCGCAAGCCCGCCAGGCTATAGAGGGTCCATTAACCAGTCGCCGAGACCCCCATGAAGACCGAGTGTATTACTGAACGACGAGCGATTTCTCTAGGATTTCAATCAGTGAGGGACTCCGGACCCAATATCGCCGAATATTTTGATATGCTATCCGCTTAGATCTTACTAGTCACACGGCCAACTTCCGAGTGAAAATCAGTGAGTGACCCAATCGATTTGTCTTCAGCAGCGCGTCGCTATGCCTCACAGGATGCCATCACCACGAGTACACTCGGCAGTCGGAGATACAGGTCTGCTTCCTAAAGTGATCGACAAACGATGAATGACATTTCCGGAAAGTATGCCGGCTCAAGAAAGGTAGAAAAGCGCACCAGTCTCGTCCTAGATCCTTACTATAATCCACAAAGACCCTTCTAGCTTCGAATTATCTTTGAACAAACACTTCCTTCTCCATGTCTCATCTCGTTCCTGCACCCGCCCCACCCTCCAAACTGGGTATCTATCGTGTTTTGTCGTCTCGCGCGGGAGTCCATGTATCGCCCTTGTGTCTCGGTGCAATGAGCATCGGAGATAAATGGAGTTCGTTCATGGGCTCTATGGACAAAGAATCCAGTTTCAAGCTTTTGGATGCCTACTTCGATAAGGGAGGTAACTTTATCGACACTGCTAATGGCTAGTGAGTCCCACAATCAGCATGCTGCATACCCCGATAGTATCTAATCTCGACCCACAGTCAAGACGAAACCTCTGAAGAGTTCATCGGGGAGTGGGCTGAAAAACGTGGAATCCGAGATCAACTCGTCATTGCAACCAAGGTCAGCCACGTTTCGTAGCTCGCGAGATCTTTTGAGAGGCTTACGAATCTATCGCAGTACTCGTCGCTATACAAACGCGACCCATCAGTCTCGCACAAGGTCAATTATTCCGGGAACAACACGAAGAGTATGCACGTAAGCGTCAACGCGAGTCTCAAGAAGCTTCGGACGGATTACATCGATCTTTTATACGTCCACTGGTGGGATTATGATACCTCTATTGAGGAAGTCATGGATAGTCTACACAATCTCGTCACATCGAGGAAGGTTCTATATCTGGTGAGGAGAACGAATTCATCGGAAACAACTCTTCCTGACATCGCAATGGATTTGAACTTTCAGGGCATCTCCGACACTCCGGCATGGATAGTATCTCAGGCCAATCAGTACGCCAAGTTGACTGGGAAGACACCGTTCACGGTCTACCAGGGAGAGTGGAGCGTATTGAAGAGGTCCTTCGAAAGGGACATTATTCCGATGGCTCGCTCATTCGGTTGGATACCAGTCTTTTCGAGTCGATTCGAAGTCACGCTTATCATGATCTAGGCATGGCGCTCGCTCCGTGGGGTGTTTTGGGTGGTGGTAAACTGAGAACGGATGCTGAGGAAGAACAAAGAAAGCAAAGCGGGGAGGAGGGTCGTAAAATGCTGTCTGACTGGCTCAGAAACCCCGATGAAGTGAAGATGAGTCGCGCGCTTGAGAAAGTAGCCAAGGAGGTTGGTGTAAAGAATATCACGTCTGGTAAGTCGTCCTCAACTCTCAATAGATATTCTTCACCGATCCTCGTTGTTACAGTTGCCATTGCGTATGTTATGCAGAAGACCGCTTACGTCTTCCCAATCATTGGTGGCCGTAAAGTGGAACAACTCGAGCAAAATATGGAGGCTCTCGATATCAATCTGACTCCGGAGCAAATCAAATTTTTGGAGAGCCAGATTCCATTGGACCTTGGGTTCCCCATGAGCCTTTTCGTGAGTATCACTCCATCCTAGCTAATTTCATTGTGCTACATGGTGACGCTCATATTCATCCAGGGTACCGGAAACGAGCCTGACGGGACCTTCACAATGAGATTGGCCGGAAATTTCCAGAGAATTCTACCTGCACAGCCCCTCAGTGCGCCTATCTTGGAAACGCAGAAGTAAAAGGTCGTGCTACTAGAACTTGGAGTTTGCATACTCTTAGGAATCGATAATTTCTTTTCGCGGCAAAAGTTTGAACTACCCAAGCCGCTACGTGTCTAGGTAC